GAATCTCAATGTCATGGTTGTTTGACTCCATCCTACAAGTTAGCTGTTACATGTGAAAATCATGCACATTGAGGTCATCTTCTGAAGTTGCTTCCTTTGATGTCTTCATTGTCCACATCAACCGTGCTGAGCTCATTCTTCATGTCTTCAGTCTTGAGGCCATTTTCTACCCAAAGGTGTGTATAAAAACAAAAGAGTGGATACCACGCACTTCCAGTTAAAGAAGACATTTTTAAATGTGTTGTCACCGATGCTCAGTATGTGCTCCCTGTAATATGCTCCACAGCAGTTCTGCATGGCATATGGAAACCTTTTCAGTGGTGGTCTGGTTAAGTCAGCTCTCAGAGCAGAGATGGTCTCCATATCCTGCTTGAATAGACTGGTCTTCTTCAGTTCCATAAATCTTCTTCTTGTTCCCAGAGTCCTGGACATACTCCTAAGTTTATACTAAAATGTCAAGGCATATATATTGGTTGATAATGTTACCTGTCTGCTTACAATCTTAAGGACCATGTTTTGCCTTCCAGATAAAATCCTTATCACCATGGCACCCAAGCCCACTCATTATCTCGTCCAAGACCACTTTTCCCAGTTGCATCTCATGTCCACACTGCAGACGCTGGCTTCAGCTCCCCAGCTGGTACTTTCTCCTGCTTTTATACATTTGTATGTATTGTTCTTTGGCCTGAAATGCACTTTCCCTGTCTAACAATATCTTCACGTATGTTTTTCATTTTCACATATAATCTAATTTAATTTTGAAATAGCACTGAGGTTTGGGCATCACTGTGCCCATTTTGTACACTGTAAATGGAGCTTTGGAGAGATCAAGTAAGTTTTCCAAAGTCACACAGCTAGGACGTAACAGCATAAGGATGTGAATACAGGCAGTCTGACCCCAAAGTCCATTTTCTTAACCTGCACACTCTGTTTCCTTTCCTCCCTACAGTCTGGATACGTGTGGCTAGATCTTTGAGGCTGAGCCCATTACATGAGAAGCTTAGAATCTTGGGTACTAAGTTTCATAGCTCCATATAATTGTCATATAATTGTCAACTGTCATATAATTACTTGTCGTATAATTACTCACTTACCAGTTTGTCTAAAATAATACATTGGTCACCTCTTGAGAATAAGAGCTGTGTCACTTAGCTCCACCTCCCTGTGTGATGACTGGTTCTGCGTATGTTGTGAATGAAGAAGTTAAGGTTCAGAAGTTCAAGGGAAGTGAAGGAGAGTCTGCAGCTGAAGGGAGACTGAAGCTGGGCCTTGAACCCAGGGCCTCCGACTCTCAGCCTTACATGCCCTTCTTTCCTCTGTATTGTCTTCTCAGAAAAGGACACAACAAAGTCATCCTAAACTATAAAAGTGCCTGTTCAGACAAAATATTTACGTACTCAATACATATAAACCTATGGCATTAAAATGATGATGGGGAATAGGACAAAGCCCAAGTTGAATCCAAGTCAACTTTATGTTCTTGTTGTGCAAAGGCAAATGCAGTTACGTTATCCAAATTTGAATCATGTTCTTAATAGGTTAATGCATTACCTGAAGAAGGCAAGAACTACGATTAGACATATCAGTTTAATTAAGTAAATGATATTTTATATCATGGATTGCTGATTTTAAAATGATTTTTCAAATTCCACATCCTTAAAAAGCATCAGAACAGGTAAGTTCAGTAAAGCATCCAACTGATGACAGGCTAGCACTCCTTGTGCGCAAGCGCTCAGTACAAACAATTAGTATGTAACAGTCATGCCTCAAAAAAATTAAACTTCATCAACAACATGTGTAAAATACGTACCGTGTATTTATGCGTTAAAAACTTATCAAAATTAAGAATTTTCTAGAAACCATTCGTCCATGCATAAAGGCACACAAAGCCTGCTTTATGTCATCCGTGCACATGAGGAATTAGAACAGCTGGAACTTGCTATGATTCGAAAGTTGCACAGCGCAGATTTGCAGTATAACTCAACACAAGGCAACCGCCTTAAATGGACTAAATCCAAGTTGCTGCTGTTTTCATTTCATGATACAAAAGCCTTTCTTTTGCTTGTTTGTAATGCTACAACTTTAATTCAGCTGTTTTTTAACTTCATTGTGTCTATAGTTGTTCGAATAAAGAAGAGAGATGTGTCTTATTTAAAATGACTTGATCATGTATGTTGAACAGTGTAACAGAGACAGATTCACTTAACCACTTTTGAAGATAATTCCCATACAGACTGGTACATCGAAACAGAAACATATTGAAACTCTTTCTGAATCTGAACATCCCAGACAACAGGTGACACGAACATCCCATGGCCTCTGCAAATGTTACTTGTTATCACAATTTTCATACCTAAACCAGCCTCAAATACCATAACCAACTTCAGAACTGATATCTTGCCACTAACTACACTAACACTTAATTTCAAGTCTTCAAGTCAAATTTTAAAGTCTTTACAGCAAAAATTCTTCAATAAGTTCTCACTGCCTCAGACTCAAAATGGAAATATTTCTCCTTCAGTGCATATGCACTGGGATGTCTGGATTAGATGTCCCAACACTTCACCTAGGGAAACCACTGAACGTTGGCTATAACTTTCCGGTCCTACTTATGCAATAGAAATCATTCATTTTCCTTACCGCTCTTGTTAATGCCACAGATCTCTGCCAAAGGAAGTAAAGAAGTGTACAAAACAGTCATCCATTTTATTTCTGTGAGGAACTGGCAGACACACAGAGACTAGGATTTGATGGTTGGGAATGTTTATAAGCCTCTGAAACTTCCAGATTTCAGGTATTCTGACACTGAGAATAAAATTCAAAGAAGTAAATCTTGACTCTTCCATTTGTTCCTCTGCTAATTTAAACCTTCAAGATGGTTTTTACTTGAGTCAATTTAAAAAAAAAAAGAAGAAGAAGGAAAAGATGCTTCTGGTCAAAGTAAAGAGATCTCTGTGATGTTCTCATAGAGGTGGACTAAAATAAGACCATGAGCTCACAGTATTCAGTTTCATGGCATCTGGAATTCTCTCTGTGTCATTTCTATTCCAGTGAGGTGAACAGTATCCCATGAGAACACTTCACAGTTCAGGAGAGATACAGAGCATGTAATATATTAGCATCTGAAGTTCTTTTGGGTTTCTATTTCGTGATATTAAAATGTACAATAGTACATTTTTTAGAAAACTAAAAAAGAAGTCTAAAAACTGTATGTAACTGTCATTAGCCAAGAGAAATGCCACATTATAAAAAAGATAAAGCTGCTGGATGAATGGACAGATAAGGAGGGAGGCAAGGAGGGAAGGGAGAATTTTTACAGGATTCATCTCACATTGCGTATTTAGTTAAATCCTTTCAGGAGAAGGCATTACCTGAAATGATACCACAGTAATGACTGTGAGGAGCTGACTTCTCTGTGACTTTTTCCTCCATGGACCTTTTCTGCCTATATACACGGTGTGGGTGACCCGTTATGGCCATTGTATCATTGAGTGGTTCAATAAACATGAAGTCTTCATTAAGCTGTATAAATCCCATCTGGAATATACAACATAAAAAGATATGGATGAAATACCATTCGAATAAGTTACTTTCTAGGTTCTCTCACTCACACTCTATCTTCTTCCACATATGTGCACACATGTTTCTAGTGAAGCTCTTTGAGCAACCCCACGAAGAAGGTAACTGTCTTTCCACTTTATTATTCATCTTCATGTACTTTATTGCACTAGCATAAACTTAATTTAGTTATTCTTAGCCCTGTGTGGGTGGGAGGCTGGATGCCAGCAACAGATGCACAGTAAAAATTCTGGAATGTTAAAGGCTCACTTTGGGAGACCCATGGGGTCACTTACACGTACAGCATGTACAGAAGGGCAATAGAGTTTTTAATTGCATACGCCACACAGTCCAACTTTTTGACAATCATTACTCAATAAAGTAATTCATGTAACATGTCACAGTAAATGGAGGCTATACAGCATTAAAGTTATTATATAAAATATTCTTAAAGCCTCTTACTAAACATTTTTTAAAACCCTTGACTAATAAATTACAGAGAAAAATGAAGGATCACTTATATAAACAAGTTTCATTGCATACAATGCCATGTTTTTAAAGTCAGCCAGTTGTGGGCAGAGGGCTAATAACTGTAAAACATGGTTATGATCAACAAAAAGAACTTTTCAAAAGCAAATATTCTTTTATTATATTGAAGCTAAGTCTACTCATTTCTTCCCTTCCTTTTTTAGAATATAAATTTGCATTATAACTAGGAAAATATTCCACGTGGAAGAATATATGACTTGATCTTCTCAATTTTTATTATTTTACTCTACTGAAATATATATAAAAACATTTATTTGATCTTTACACTGTTAACTCTTTAGTAAACATTTCTGAAGAAATAATCGCCTAGAACTGCACGATTCACACTTTGCTAATGTCAAAGTTTAAAACACTGTTTTGCATTAGCTACATGAACATTATATACAGTTCATTTTAACTTGATCCACATGCAATTAGCGTAGTAATATAATAACTTCTTCAGCTATAGTAATTCTTTCAAACGGAATATGAAAAAAAAATCTACGCTCAAAAACAAAATATTTTCCTTAGAAGCAAAAAAGTTTTTAAATTTTGTTTTGTTTTAATTACTAAAATGTATTGCATCTTCTGTATGGAAAACCAGGTGATTCCCAGTATGCTACCTCATTTTATTCTGTACAGAATTGTCACTATAAGATATCTGAAGAATAATCTTAAAATCCGCATCCATTTCCTTTTACTGAAGTGTTGATATCACTCATAAAACTCCCAACCACTAGAATAGCAGCTCCACCACCTGTTTGTCCCCTCCCTCTCTGTCTCTTCCCCCCTCTTCCTCGCCTTCCCAGTCTCCCCTTCTCCCCGCCTCTCTCTTGACACACGCACACACCATTTGTAGGTGGGGATAAAGCAAAGATTTACTCTGATGATTCTTTTCAAATATCACACATGTATATATTTGAACCATTTTTGTGTATGACTTCTAATGATGTTTCCATTCTCTCAAATGTAAAACTGGCTTGAACTTTAAACTAATTACATGAAAGTCAAAAAATTTTCCCTAGAGCCTAGTTTTATGAGAATAAAATATCAAATACTTAAAAATGTAAATAATAATCATTAAAAAAGTTGTACATCTATCTATGTATGGACTGAGGATAAGTGGTGTCACACTATTTATCACTAATCCAAAGTGTGAAAATACATAAATGTTTCTCTTGTCATATATTAGTGTGGTTCTGATGTTGAATTAGCAGTCAGGGCCGTTAACAGAACTGACAGTGTGGCTGATGACTAAAACATTTATTGCTATGATGCTCAGTTTCCCTAAATCATAAGTTTACAGTCTGATACATTCTTTCAACAGGTTTTAAGTATGGTACGATTTATAACAATAAACATTATAACATTTAATTGCATACTATCATGTAAAATTTAATGACCTCAAGAACAGATTCTGGACTTAAGATTATTTGGGTTCATAACCTACTACTAGCATGCAACTATGAGAAAGTTACAGTGCTTTATACAACAGCTTCACAGGGTTGTTTGGAAGGCTTTTTAAAAGCACTTTTAGGACCTGTAATGCTCCTATCATAGAATCTGATATGGGGTAACCCCTCAATAAATGTTCGTCGTAAATTTTATTTTATTAATAAGGATAATCTTAACAAATGTAGTCAGCCAAACATCTGAGAGTGAACTAAAGGGCTCAGAGGCCAAAGGATTAAAATTTATTCATCTTTGTAACCCCATGCTAGCATATTAAATATAGTGTGAAATAAAGATGAATTTTTTTTAGTTACAATCCAGAAACCTCTTCATAACATAGAGCTCCCTGTTGTGTTAGGATTTTATCTATGCATGTTTTTAAAAATAAGAAGGCTACTTTTAAAAAGGAGAAAAATGTTGGAATAATTATAAACGAGGACTCATTCATTCAATACGTATTTCCCGGCTGACCGCAGCGTGCCAGACTCAGCTCACTCGGGGGCACGTTTAGCATCAAGTGCTCAGGTTCCCTTCGGGGAAGGGCTTCTCTCTGAGACCAGGATACTGTCCTGCAGCACAGGAAGTGCTCTAGCTTGAGTTGGTATCTTTCAAGCAGAACTGCAGGAAATCTTGAGGTTTTCTGTCCCCACCAAGGGCTCACTTGTTCCACTAACAAAATGGGCTGTTCTACCTGCGCTGTGAATTTACAAGCGCTGAAAGAACATAAAGGCATATTCACCTCTCTTTACAAGTAAGCGCTCCCGTGTTTGACAATCCAGTTAGGCAGCATTCACTTTAGTGCGAGTATTGCCCTTCCAATTTTAGAAGGAAAGAACGTTAATTAATCGTGATTTAATGTGGCACAATACAGTCTCTAAAATAAATGCGAACTATATAAGCACTGTCTCCCAGACTGCCCTATTTAGATTTTTCAAAGTGATTTTAACAATTTTGAGACACGTCGTGCAAACCTTTCAAAATGAAATGAATTTAACAGTTGCTCCCTACCTCGTTTCTGTCATCGTGTGCATTTTCTCAGATGATGGTGTCTGCTCTGTTGTCATGGAACGTTATTCTTTGATTTGACAGTTTAGCAAACACGTCAGTATTTTGCAAATTTACCACGGCTTATGTGAGAATAAGTTACCAGTCATTTCTTGTCTTACTGGTTCTGATATTTCACTTTCTCTCTATTTAGATGCTCACGTGCTTTTTAAAACAGCCATGAACCCTGATCTCCCAGTAGGTGTACCGACTCCGCCACCAACTCCTAATCACAACCTGAAATTTGATTTGGCCAAATGTGCATGAATTTTTCAATTCACGGCTTCAATTCACCGAATACAAATGTTTCATTTGTTCAAACTCAGATTAACTATGATCTTTTACATAGAGAAAGAGATTCTAAAGTCCTAACATAAGCATTAATAAAATGTAACTTAAAAAATGAGAAAGCAACATGGCTCTCTCCAGCCCTGTTCCCACGCCTGCTTCACTTGCACTGCCTCACGTCCTGTTCCCTCAAAGAGCGGATGCACGACTATCATTACCACAAGTTTTCTTTTCATTCTTCCATGCTCCTTTCTGGAAACTGTCTTCATTTTCCAGAACCTTGGTTTTCTAAGTAAACTCTCAGCGGATTAGCTGAAGGGTCTGTATCTGAGGCTCAAACTGCATCTTGTGAGGGTCTTTAATAATATCCTATTTTTAAAAATATATAGCATATCACAAGAAGTAAATAGCATAAGTGTGAGGTAGATCTTAGTAATTTCGGGCTGTGAGAAGACTCTGGAGGGACAGCAAAACATGGATAAAACTAGGCTGAAGTGCTCCTCGTGAGAGGAGGCATTGGGAGCGAGGACAACGAGGAAGTGGAATCTAGGAAAAGGTTTAAGAAGATGCCTGGCTTGAATAGAGAAATGAGGAAATGTAGCCAAAAATTAAGGTAAACCAACATAACTGAAAACATGAAATGGTAAAGTTCTTGACAGGAAAAGGGAAGTCAATGTCCTGAAGGTCTGTGGATGATCAGGCTACTGTCTGACCATAAAGTGTACTAGGAAATACCTGAGATACTAGAAGAAGCAAGGGTGGGACTGGAGGGAAAAACTGGGAGTTTGGGATTTGCAGATACTAACCACTATATAGAAAATAGATAAACAGCAAGGTCCTACTGTAGAGTACAGGGAACTATATTCAATAACTTGTAATAGCCTGTTATGAAAAGGAATATACATATATATGTAATAACTGAATCATTATGCTGTATACCAGAAATTAACACAACATGGTAAACTGGCTATACTTCAGTAAAAAATAAAATAAAATAAAATAGCAGGAACAGAAGTTACTGAAAGGATCTGGCATCAGTCTATTGCTTGTAAAAACATTTTCAATAGATGACTGATACTCTACACAAACTGAACTTCTATTTAAGTTTGGCTGTATTTTCACATGTATTCTCTTGAATGGTAATATTATAGTATATATCACACTAACTAAAGTGTATAGCTTAAAATGTAAGCATAATATAGGGATTGACATAAATTACAATACTGTAAGTTTATTTCATGCTTTATTCAAATAAAACATCATTTTCAATATTACTGTAATTAGGAGTAATTTTTCACACCTTTGTGTATTGCATACATACACATAAAGCTGTAGGAAAACACACTTCTGACACCATACCTGTCCTATTATTGTATCACACTGAAGTACGCTTCCTGACTCAGTCTTTTCAAGGTTTCCCCTTTGCGCCCGTGAGGATAAACCCCAAACCCTTAAAGAGGACATATAAGGTATAAGGTCATGATAAACTCTTGCCTACCACTCCAACTTTATCTTTGCTACCTACACTTCACAGATAACCATAACAAACGTTTTTATTGTGTGAACAAATTTTATATTTTAACTGATTTCAGAATAACTTTCAGCTGCATGGTCACACCTCGGTACACCGCACATGCTGTTTTCTCTTTTCCAGAAAGTCACGGTACATAGAGTTATCATTTCTTCAATATCAAGCCAACTCTGTCCTCTCTTCAAAGTGACCACTGCCT